AAGTAGGCTTCATCCCGGGGATGCAAGGCTGGTTCAACATAAGCAAGTCTATAAACGTAATTCACCACATAAACAGAACCGAAGACAAAAACCACATGATTATCTCAATTGACGCAGAGAAGGCCTTTGACAAAATTAAACAGCCATTTATGCTAAAAACCCTCAATAAGCTAGGTATCGATGGAACGTATCTCAAAATAATAAAAGCTATTTATGACAAACCAACAGCCAATATCATACTGAATGGGCAAAAACTGGAAGCATTCCCCTTGAAATGTGGCACCAGACAAGGATGCCCTCTCTCACCACTCCTATTCAATATAGTATTAGAAGTTCTAGCCAGAGCAATCAGGCAAGAAAAAGAAATAAAGGGCATTCGAATAGGAAAGGAGGAAGTCAAATTGTCTCTATTTGCAGACGACATGATTGTATATCTAGAAGACCCCATCATCTCAGCCCCAAACCTCCTGAAACTGATAAGCAAGTTCAGCAAAGTCTCAGGATACAAAATCAATGTGCAAAAATCACATGCATTCCTATACACCAATAACAGACTTAAAGAGAGCCAAATCAAGACCAAACTGCCATTCACAATTGCCACAAAGAGAATAAAATACCTAGGAATACAACTAACAAGGAATGTAAAGGACCTCTTCAAGGAGAACTACAAGCCACTGCTCAACGAAATAAGAGAGGACACAAACAGATGGAGACACATTCCATGTTCATGGTTAGGAAGAATCAATATCGTGAAAATGGCCATACTGCCCAAAGTAATTTACAGATTCAATTCTATCCCCATCAAGCTACCAATGACCTTCTTCACAGAACTGGAAAAAACCACCTTAAACTTCATATGGAACCAAAAGAGAGACCGCATAGCCAAGTCAATTCTAAGCAAAAAGAACAAAGCGGGGAGCATCACACTACCAGACTTCAAACTATACTACAAGGCTATAGTAATCAAAACAGCATGGTACTGGTACCAAAACAGAGATATAGACCAATGGAACAGAACAGAGGTCTCGGAGGCAACACAACATATCTACAACCATCTGATCTTTGACAAACCAGACAAAAACAAGCAATGGGGAAAGGATTCCCTGTTCAATAAATGGTGTTGGGAAAGCTGGCTAGCCATGTGCACAAAGCAGAAACTGGACCCCTTCCTGACACCTTACACTAAAATTAACTCCAGATGGATTAAAGACTTAAACATAAGACCTAACACCATAAAAACCCTAGAAGAAAATCTAGGCAAAACCATTCAGGACGTAGGTGTAGGCAAGGACTTCATGACCAAAACATCAAAAGCATTGACAACAAAAGCCAAAAGTGACAAATGGGACCTAATCAAACTCCACAGCTTCTGCACAGCAAAAGAAGCAATCATTAGAGTGAATTGGCAACCAATGGATTGGGAAAAAATTTTTGCAGTTTACCCATCTGACAAAGGGCTGATATCCAGAATTTACAAAGAACTAAAACAGATTTACAAGAAAAAAACTAACAAGCCCATTCAAAAGTGGGCAAAGGATATGAACAGACACTTTACAAAAGAAGACATACGTGAGGCCAACAAACATATGAAAAAATGCTCATCATCACTGGTCATCAGAGAAATGCAAATCAAAACTACATTGAGATACCATCTCACGCCAGTTAGAATGGTGATCATTAAAAAATCTGGAGACAACAGATGCTGGAGAGCATGTGGAGAAATAGGAACACTTTTACACTGTTGGTGGGAGTGTAAATTAGTTCAACCGTTGTGGAAGACAGTGTGGCGATTCCTCAAGGACCTAGAAATAGAAATTCCATTTGACCCAGCAATCCCATTACTGGGTATATATCCAAAGGATTACAAATCGTTCTACTATAAGGACACGTGCACACGAATGTTCATTGCAGCACTGTTTACAATAGCAAAGACCTGGAACCAACCCAAATGCCGATCGACAATAGACTGGATAGGGAAAATGTGGCACATATACACCATGGAATATTATGCAGCCATCAAAAACGATGAGTTTGGGTCCTTTGTAGGGACATGGATGAACCTGGAAACCATCATTCTCAGCAAACTGACAGGAGAGCAGAAGATCAAACATCGCATGTTCTCACTCATAGGCGGTTGTTGAACAATGAGAACACATGGACACAGGGAGGGGAGCACTACACACTGGGGTCAGTTGGGGGGAAATAGGGGAGGGACGGTGGGGGGTGGGAAGCTGGGGAGAGATAGCAAGGGGAGAGATGCCAGATGTAGGTGATGGGGAGGAAGGCAGCAAATCACACTGCCACGTGTGTTCCTATGCAACAATTTTGCATGTTCTTCACATGTACCCCAAAACCTAAAATGCAATGAAATAAATAAATGGGGGAAAAAAAGGCAAAAAAAAATTAACTCTAGATGGATTAAAGATTTAAACATGAGGCCTAACACCATAAAAACCCTAGAAGAAAACCTAGGCAATGCCATCCAGGACATAGGCCTGGGCAAGGACCTCATGACTAAAACACCAAAAGCAATGGCAACAAAAGCCAAAATAGACAAATGGGATCTAATTAAACTTAAGAGCTTCAGCACTGCAAGAGAAACTATCAATAGAGTTAACCGGCAACCAACAGAATGGGAAAAAATTTTGCAATCTACCCATCTGAAAATATCCAGAATATCCAGAATCTACGGAGTTAGATCTCCAGGCTAATATCCAGAATCTATGGAGAACTTAAACAAATTTATAAGAAAAAAACATCAAAAAGTAGGCAAAGGACATGAACAGACATTTTTCAAAAGAAGACATTCATGCAGCCAACAACCATATGAAAAATGCTCATCATCACTGGCCATTAGAGAAACGCAAATCAAAACCACATTGAGATACCACCTCATGCCAGTTAAAATGGCAATCATTAAAATAATCAGGAGAAAACAGATGCAGGAGAGGATGTGGAGAAATAGGAATGCTTTTACACTGTTGGTGGGAATGTAAATTAATTTAACCATTGTGGAAGATAGTTATGTCTTTTCTTCTGCTACCTTTGCAGTTAGTTTATTCTTCCTTTTCTACTTCTTCTTGCTATAATGTTACATGATTAATTTTAGGTCTTTTCAACTTTCTGATGTTGACATTTGGTACTACAAAATTTCTTCTTAATACTTCTTTTCTCACAGACTAGATTTTGGCATGGTTATCTGTTTCCATTAATTTCAATTTTTTTGTGTTCTTAATTTCATAGCTTACCCAGTGTAATTGTGTGGTTGTAAGACATCTTGATATTGATTTCTATTTTTATTTTACTGAGGTCCAAGATTATGGTTGGTATAATTTTGATTTTCTTTTTAATTTATTGAGGCTTTCCTTGCGGCTCAGCAAGTTGTTGATCTTAGAATATGTTCCATGTGTAGATGAGAAAAATGTATATTCTGTGGTTAGTGAATACAATACTTTGTAGATGTGTGTTGCTTCAAATTGGCCAAGTGTCAAATTTAAGTCCAGAATTTCTTTGTTAGTTTTCTACCTTGATGATCTGTCTAATGCTGTCAGTGGAGTGTTGATGTCACCCACTATTATTATGTGTCTATTTAAGTCTTTTTGTTTGTCAAGAAGTATCTGTTTTACAAATCTGTGTCCTCCAATGTTGAGCGCACATAGGTTTAGGATAGTTAAGACTTCTTTTCAATTGAGCTCTTTATTATTATGTAATGTCCTTGTTTTCCCGTTTTTACCCTTGTTGGCTTAGAGTCTGTTTTATCTGACATAATAATAGTGACCCTGCTGTTTTTCATTTTGCATTTTCATGATAGATTTTTCTCCAACCCATTGCTTTGAGCCTATGGATGTAATTACATGTGAGATAGATCTCTTGAAGACAGCAGACCAGATGGGTCTTGTATTTTTATCTAACTTACCACTCTGTACTTTTTAAGTGGATAGCTTAGACTGTTGGACAATATTGGTTTGTGAGGTTTTTGGTCCTAATTGTACCCCTGTATCAATATTAGAAAAAGTTTCTTGTATTAATCCCTCAAATATGTTTTCCAGGTTGTTTGCTTTTTCTCCTGCTCTTAGGAATGCCAATAATTCATAAAAACATGAAATGTTTTACAAATTTGCATGTCATCTTTGCACAGGGGCCATGCTAATCTCCTCTGTATCATTCCAATTTTATTATATGCGGTACCAAAGTGAGCATGAGTGACAGTGTTTTTAAATTGAATAAACTGAGTTTAAAACAGTTGTGGACATGACAAAAACAGCCAGTACTTGTTAAAGGAAATCTCAACCCAAGGGTGTGCTGACAATTCCCATGTATGTAATCACTTTGCTGTGTTGTTTCCCACAATCAAAAACTCACACATGTAATTTGTGAGTTTTTTAATTTTTGAAATAAATTGTATTTTTTATGAATTTAGGGTACAAGTGCAGTTGTTTTACATTGATATATTACACAGTCATGAAGCCTGGGCCTTTAGCGTACCTCTCACCTGAATAGTGTACATTATACCCAATAGTAGTATTTCATTAATCACTCCTACCTATCTTCCCATTGTCTGGACTCTCCAATGTCTATTATTCCCTTCTGTATTTCCACATGTACGCACTGTTTAGCCCCCAGTTATAAGTGAGAACATGCAGTCTTTGACTTTCTAAGTAAAAAAAACAAAAAAATAAATTTAAAACACACAGATTACATGTGTGGGTTTTGACTATATCTTGTCTATTGTTTGCATCCCAAAAACACAACAGTTGAAGGAATCAATTTACCATCTGATAGTAGTGGGGAAGTCCTGGCTCTTCTATTAATAACACTAATGGTGCAATGGTGCATTTTGCCCCCTCTGACCAAGACCATATATGGAATCTTCTTCTTTCTTTCTGACCTTATTTTCCTCCTTCCAGAAACCAGGAATCTATATCTGCCTGACTCCACCCAACATGTGGAAAAATGAGTGAGTAAATTCTTTAGCTTTCCCTTAGAGAGAGCTGTGTACTATATAGTAGTCTCCTCTTAGATACAAGGGATGTGTACCAAGATCCCTAGTGGGCGCCTGAAACTGTGGTTTCAGGCAAATCCTATATAAGCTATGTTTTTTCCTACACATATCCATGATAACGTTTAATGTATAAATCAAGCACATTAAGAGATTAATGACAATAACTAATAATAAAATAAAACAATTATAATATACTATAATAAAAGTTAGGTAAATGCAACTTTTCTGTCTCTCAAAATATGTTATTATACTGTGCTTACCCTTATTCCACTTGTGGTCTTCTTTCTTGCTAAGAGAAATTTTAAAAGGCCTAAATAAATAAAAAGATATCCCTAGTTCATGGATTGAACAATTGTGCATTTTAGCAGAAAGCAAGGAGTATTTTAAGATTGATGGCTAAGCAGAGAGTAAGTCCTGAAGGAAAAGCAAAAAAGTCCTTTGTTTATTTTGTGCCTTAGGAGAGGTACTCCATGGGCATGGTTAGGTGGAGATTTTAGTGTAAAAAGGAAGTAGCCTCTAGCAGAGGCGGCAAATTACCTGTCACAGTGAGTCCTTGGGTTGGGATGATGTCATCTGGAATGTGGGATTTGGACACATTTTAAAGTGAGTAACTACTCAAGTTAATGCGGATCTCCAAATTGCAAACCAGTGACAGTGCCCAAGCCAGCGGTACAAAGCCAACAGTCAACAGAATGGCATGCAGCTGCACATGACAGGGCTTTTGTTTTTTGGAGTAAGCTTAGTTTTAAATGGGTCACATTTCAAATGAGCAACTGCCTGGCTGTGGAGTGATCTATGGCTAATGAGCCATTGCTCCAAACTTTAGCCTTTGTAGGATGAAAACAAGATAAAACATTTGTAAAGATATGTTAAGATCTAAAGGAAAAGAGAAATTGACTTAGCAGTTTCATTATAGGACAAGAATTTGAAAAGGAGTTCTTTGAGGAGACCAGTATGTCTCTCAGGTAAACTGGTTATCAGGGACCTTTCAAGTAAAAGAATATTCTATTTAATGTCTTTTTTAGGAGCCCAGAATTGTGCATTTTAAGAAGTGAAAAATAATGAGATCACATGGACACAGGGAGGGGAACATCACAATCCAGGGCCTGTTGGGGGTTGGGGGAATAAGGGAGGGATAGCATTAGAAGAAATATGTAATGTAGATGATGGGTTGATGGGTGCAGCAAACCACCATGACATGTGTATACCTATGTAACAAACCTGCATGTTCTGCACATGTATCCCAGAACTTAAAGCATAATTTTAAAAAGTGAAATATGTGTCTTGCTTACTACCAGTAATATATGCAAAATTGAAGGCAACAAGGAATGTCCTACAAAGGCCTTTTTATTTTTTCTGGCCTTAGTGTACAGAGACATGTGTGATTTTGATTTATATTTTGAGCATCTCTGAGACAAGAGATTCCCAGAGTCTTTTTTATTTTTTTTATCTTTAAGGAGATCATTTTTAGGTAATGGCCACATAGTTAATAATTAATGTGAAAACAAGATCATTTGTTGACCAGGGCACCTGGTGCTAAAATGGCTGCCAAGTGTTTGGCCATGTGTCTTTTTTTTTAGGCCCCATTATTTATTAGGCACATCCTGGGAAATTGGTCACATTGCACTAAGCTCCATGATGTAAGATGGTTGCAGTGCTGTTTGCACAGTCTACAAACTCCCATTAGTATTTACTCAATTCACCCCATGAACATTTCCAGAGAGTCAAAAGGCCTGGGGAAGGGGTGGCCTCCTCCCTTATGCTGGCACCTGGCAAAGGACTAGGGACAGAGGAGGCCACCTCCTCCTGCAAGTGGAATATACCAGAGGGCCCAGATTTGGCTCCTGTCTTAGGGAGGTCTCAGTAGCCATGCCAGACCTGTGGGATACTGTTTTCAGTACCCAGATAATGGGAGCTGGGTACAGAGGTCCGCAGGATCAGGATCTGTGAGATCTTCTATTTCCAGGAAAGCCAACCAGGTAGCCAGTCATTTGTTGTTTCTATGGTATGTGACATGAAGCCAAGAGGGACAATTTTGTGATTTTGTTTTATTTTGTTTTATCAGAAGCCCCAGGGAAATTGATGACCACCCCATAAATGGTTTAGATACTCCAGGAGACATAAAAAGAACTTGCCAATGACTCTCCAGTAAAGAAGTTTCTGAGGCACAGGAGTGCCTGTTGATTTTAATTTGTAAATAAATTTTTGTAAATGAAGATATGTTGGAACTAGAAAACCCAGTACTGTATACTAAGAAATATCAGACTTCTGTGTTCTTAATGAGTTTGTCAAATGATTCTCTCTGGAGGAGGATTTCCTCAAAGTAATGTCATACCTATGTTCCTGCAGAAAGGTGAATATCTTCAAGATCTTCCCTGTAAAGACTGTGTGTGATAACAAAGTTTTTTATTGCAGCACTGTTCACAATAGTAAAGACTTGAAACCGACCCAAATGCCCAGCAATGATAGACTGGTTAAAAAAATGTGACACATATACAACATGGAATACTATGCATGTTGTATAAAAAATATGAGTTCATGTCCTTTGCAGGAACATGGATGAAGCTGGAAACCATCATTCTCAGCAAACTGACAAGAACAGGAAATCAAACACCACATGTTCTCACTCATAAGTGCATGTTGAACAATCATGCACTGGGGCCTGGGGGTGGGGGGCTGGGGAGGAATAGCAGGGGGTGAGGGGATTGGGGAGGGATAGCTTTAGGAAAAATACCTAATGTGGATCATGGGGTGATGGATGCAGCAAACCACTACCATGGCTTGTAACAAACCTGCACAACTTGCACATGTATCCGGAACTAAAGTATAATAAATAAATAAATGAAATTGTGGCGACATTGTGAGTATCCCACATAAGGAAGAGGCTTATTGTGACCCTGCAGACCTTCAGAGGTTGATGCAAACTTTGGCTGAGAGGTTGCCAAAATATACACTGAACAGAGCATGTTAGGCAATCAAGAAGAGCAAATACTTACTGGTTACTGATTGAATAGAATCTGTAATTTTGTTTTAAGACGGGGTATCCCTTTGTCACCCAGGCTGGAGTGCAGTGTCATCATCATAGCTTACCACAGCTTTGAACTCTTGGATTCAAACCATCCTCTTGCCTCAGCCTCCTGAGGAGTTATATTACCACACCTGGCTAGTGTGTGGGGTAAGGGGGTTGGTGGGAAATAGAGTCTTGCTATGTTTCCCAGGCTGGTCTCAAACTCCTGGCATCAAACAATCTTCCTTGTCCTCCCAAAGCACTGGGATTATAGGTGTGAGTCACTGCAACTGGCCAAAATCAGTAATTTTAATAACATTGGATACTGGGTATGGGAGCCTTGGAGGAGAGACTATGGCATTAAGACTGTAGTAATCCATCATGAAGTCTTTTCATTCATTGTTTTTAGATTTAAGAACAGGCAAAATTAGCCTGCCAAGTGGAGAAGCAATGGGGAGAATCTCCCCTTTATTGATTAGTGTTTATATAGTCAATTTTAATCCTTGAGGCCCTATTTTAATTTACATTGTGTCATATTAACTATTTCAACTGTTGGTTAATGAAGTCTTATTTTATCAAGCCAATTTTCAAGTGTTAAAGACTTGCTAATTTTAATTTACTATGTAGGATGTTAGAGTGTTTATGCTCAATAAGGAATTATTTTAAGCAATGGATACCATGTCTATGAGAAATTTCTGAAAGGTTACCAGTTAAAATGAGGCATACTCTTTTTATTCTATTTTATATTTAGGTGCTTTCTTAAGATTATAGTGTTTAAACTTAGTGGGATCCCCAGATATAATTGTTATTTAAACCCCAGTGTTGATTTAATTTGTGAATTTTTGTTAATTGGTGCATTTTTAGTAATTATTAAAGTTAGGTTCCAATCTATGCCATTGAGGTACAAGAGCCAATCAGTCTCTTTTTTAAAAGCTTTTTGTTATAGAAACCCTTTAGTATATGAATTTTAGCCTCCCAGTTGAGTCAAATTATAGAAATTTGTCTTAATTAAGCTATATAATATATTAACATACATAAATTGTCTATTTTATATGCTCATATTAAAAATATATGTGTATATATCATTTATTTGATAACCTTTTATTTCCCCACTGTATTTAGGGGTTTGCTTCTAAATCAGTAAGTAATCTAGAATTAGTTTTGTATTTGCTAGACCTGGTGTTTACTC